CATTTTTCTTTTAAATCACATTATGAACTCAATGATACATTTTTCAATATTGGCACATATTTTAAGTGTTATTAAGGTGAACCTTTAAGATTCACTTAAAGAATGTGTACATCGGGCTGAGTGCGGGAGCTGACACCTGTAATTCCAGCACTTTGGGAGGCTGAGGTGGACAGATCACGATATCAGGAGTTCAAGACCAGCCTGACCAACATGGTGAAACCCCATCTCTACTAAAAATACAAAACTTAGCCAGGTGTGGTGGTATGCACCTGTAATCCCAGCTACTCAGGAGGCTAAGGCAGGAGAATCACTTTAAACAGGAGGCAGAGGTTGCAGTGAGCTGAGATCGTGCTGCTACACTCCAGGCTGGGTGACAGAGTGAGACTCCATCTGATAAAGAAAAAAAAAAAAAAAGAATGTATATGTCACCACACTCAGCTAATTTTTTACATTTGTTGTAGAGAAAGGATCTCCCCATGTTGCCCAGGTTGGTCTCAAACTCCTGAACTCAAGCAATCCTTCCGCCTCAACCTCCCAAAGTGCTGGGATTGCTGGCATGAGCCACTACGTCTGGCCACCAGATATAATTTTTTAAATGACTAAACTTGTAACTTATATGAAATTAATTTCAAATGTCTGCAGATATTATATGTACTCAATCATACAAAATTCATTATGACTGAGAATGTTGTGTATTTTTTGTAATTAGTTGTCTACTTTTTTATTTTTTACCTTTAAAACCTATGATTAAAAGACAGTTACCTAGTTTGGGATTCTAAACCAACTCTTGGTTATAAAGAGTTGTTATTAAATGCAGGCACTGTGGCTCACACCTGTATTCCCACCACTTTGGGAGGCCAAGGTGGGCGGATCATTTGAGATCAGGAGTTCGAGATCAGCCTGGCCAACATGGTGAAACCCTGTCTCTATTATAAATACAAAAATTAGCCAGGCATGGTAGCACATGCCTGTGATTGCAGCTACTTGGGAGGCGGAGGCAGGAGAATCACTTGAACTCAGGAGGCAGATGAGCTGAGATCATGCCACTGCACTCCAGCCTGGGTGACAAAGTGAGACACTGTCTGAAAACAAAACAAAACAGAGTTGTTATTAACCAGGACACTATGCTCCTTTTTTAGGTAAATATTTGGGTGCTTTTTTTGCAGTATTTAATAAGCACCAGGTTTGTTATTTTTAACGATGCTACCTCAAGGGTCACTTATTCTTGGTTTTGTTTTGTTTTTTTGAGATAGTCTCACTCTGTTGCCTAGGCTGGAGTGCAGTGGCACAATCTTGACTCACTCGAACCTCCACCTCCCAGGTTCAAGTGGTTCTTGTGCCTCAGCCTCCCAAGTAGTTGGGATTATAGGCACCTGTCAACATGCCCGGATAATTTTTGTATTTTTAATAGAGGTGGGGTTTCACCATGTTGGCCAGGCTTGTCTCGAACTCCTGACCTCAAGTGATTTGCCTGCCTCAGCCTCCCAAAGTGCTGGGATTACAGGTGTGAGCCACCACGCCCGGCTCCCAGGTGTCACTTTTGACACAGTTCATGCCTTCAAATGACATGCTATATATTGTAGAATAATATCAAGAAGAAATTGATAGTTCATATTTTATGAGTAAGGTAATTGGTAATACAAGTATTTGGGAAGGTTAATTTTCAACCAAAGGAGTACTTTTGTTTCAGGGTGCATAAAAACAAATGAAAATATTTAAAGATCTGGCTCAGTTAACATCTGAAATAAATAAATAAATAAGCACATTGTATAATATGCCAATATCATGTAATACCCCTATTAATGTTATTTAATATTAAATTTATATTATGGATACTTTCAATATTTTAATAATATCCTTAATATGAATTAGTTCTTAACCAGAGCATTCTTGATAAGAGACTGATGAAAAAAAGCAAGTTTCAACCAGGAAAGTTCCTCTAGAGATTAGCTGATAAAAAGCAGTGAGAGACTGACATTATTTTGTAAGAAGACTGTCAGATGTAACTGATAATTCAGTTTCTCTGCCACAGTAGGGTGTTGCACTTAATTACCCTTAGACCTCATCAGACCTAAGAGAAAGGCCTGACACACTACGGGAAATTACATTCTGTGTGCTTAGCTAATGTCCCATCACAGCATAGAAAAACAAGAAGCTTTGCAAGCTGTGATTAAGGGTTTTCTTTTTTAAATGCTTTTCTACCATTAGAATTCTGAAAAGTGTAGTTGAAAAGCCAAACATAATCTCACTTAGATTAGCCTACCCTGTCTGAGATTCACATTGGTTTCTATCTTTTCGAATACTCCAAAATCCTCAGAAGTCAGCAGATGTTAAAATGTATTTTTGGTATTAATCATCAGTAATATGAGGGGAAGAGCTAATAGGCAGGCACTGATTAAAGTTGATCATTTCATAATCCCAAGAAATATGTACTGCCCAAGAGGATAAGCCTTAAAGAAGCATTAGCAAATCACTGTTTCACCCCATCATCTTCAACTATTATGATGAATTGGTGATTTTATTTTAGTCTACCCATCTTAGGGAAAATTCAGGATGTGAGGGGTTATAACCAATGATTGTGTAGTAAAACACATAAGAGTCTCATTGTGGCAATATTACTTGCATTATTCTTTACTATCAAATGAAATAAGGCTCTATGCTTTCTACATAAATACTGGAACATTCAATCAATCAGAAGTGATGAGAATCTATTTCTTTAGCTTTCACTGAGTAAAGGTGATTGTTTTTAATAACCTATATCTAATTGGTTTTTTATATGCCAATAGTTGTTATAGCTCATTTGTTCTGTGTTGAATCTAAACTCTTATGAGGGCAGCATATGTGCTCTTAATGGGATTTTTTTTCCCCCTAATAACTCTGATAAAATGTTTTGTCATTTTCCCATCTGTGAATATAGGAATGAGATAGACTGTCCCTGTGTTCAGTTTGTGGTCTATTAGAAGTGGGAATGGGTAGTAGCAGGTAAAAGTAAACAGTGCACTTCAATATAACTAATGCTGTCAGTAATGAAGATAACTACAAGGTGCTATTGGAATACAGAAGAGTTCTCTCTAGGCAACATAAACTTAATATCTGAGCAACACCAAGGTGTTGCTAATAACCATCACAAAATAGCACGTCTTTAGAGTTACTTTAACTATCAAAGTATATAGACAACGGCTCTAAGAAAGTTCCATCCATTCTTGCAATTTCATTAGTTCTGCCTTTTTCATTAAAAACAAAAGGTAATCAGTACTCATGTATATCCAGAATGGAAGACTTCTGTATAATGTAGTCATTAAAAATAAACATATCAGATACTAATGTCAGCCTTAATTATCCATTACTTTTATTTTGTCTGCATTAAGATTTGACTAGAATAAAGACTGTAACATTTAATAATTTTGTTAGAGCCTTCAGTGAAAGCACTGGGATAAAGCAATTTCAAAGTGATCAAGCCAACTCTGTGAATTAGTATTAACCATAATTATCACACGTGTAAAAGTGAGTTATCCTCTCCAATGGGGAAGCATATAAGAAACATGGGAAAAAGAGAAAATGAAAAAAGAAAAGGAAACATGGGAAAGTAGTAGTATGAACAACAGAGTAAAACAGGTAGAAAACAACAGCATAGGGATGAAAACCTTGTGAATAAAGAATTACTAATGCAAATGTAAAAATTCTGCAAAGGAAGATAATTTCTACATTTTTAACTCTGTATTAAATATTTTTTCATCTGTAACTAGGTATTGGTTTTTCTTCTCCAGAGTAAGATCACCTGATATTTGATAATTTATGCTTCTATTAATTATTACTTGTTTTATGATACAAATGTTTGTGTTCACATCCTCAAGGCTTAGAAATAAAGTGGTAGTAGTGCAATGTGATAAGTCCCATCTTCCAGCCATTTTTGAATGTCTCATTGGTATGTATATTAGGACTAAATGGCTGTATTACTTACAAAAAGTAAAATGAACAGTAAGTCGACTGAGTATTCAGGCTATGTAAAAACTACCTACCTGGGCCTTGATTATTCTGATATGATTAATATTAGAAAAGTAGGCTGCATGTAGTGGCTCATGCCTGTAGTCCCAGCACTTTGGGAGGCCGAGGTGGGTGGATTACCTGAGGTCAGGAGTTCAGGACGACATGTTGAAACCCCATCTCTACTAAAAAAATACAAAAATTATCTGGAAGTGGTGGCGGTCTCCTGTAATACCAGATACTCAAGAGGCTGAGGCAGGAGAATTGCTTGAATCTAGGAGGTGGAGGTTGCAGTGAGCTGAGATCCCCGCCATTGCATGTCAGCCTGGACAACAAGAACAAATTTCCCATCTCAAAAAAGAAAAAAAAAAAAAAAAAAACGAAAAGTAGATTATGAAATAAGAAAACTGAAAGGCATGTTAAATGCTGTTTGGTCTTAAGGTTTTTAAATCCTGTCTGGTTGAGCAAATGGACACCTTCTGTACATGAAAGCCAGACAGATACCAAGAAGCTGAGAGCTTTACTTAATGAATGAAACCTTCCACTAGTTATGAAAAGTAAAATACCATGTATAACTCATCGAGCTTAACTGGTCTCTAGACACTGATTTTTGGGAAGGATGTGAGAGAATTACTGACTCAGATTTAGGGTTGAAAGACTATTGAGAAACAGGAAGGTATTGAAAGATTATTAGGTTCCATCAGAGCAGTCTTAAGTAACCTTGTTGATTTTAGAATTGTCAGAGCAAAATCATCATGTTCAGATGCTGGAGGCCTGGCAGAACCTTGCTGGTCTCCGAAGGATGTGATAAATGAAGCAACATTAAACCAGGTACAGTTCTTAATTTTTCAGGTAACATAACTTTAGAAAAAAACAATTCTAATACAAGTTTAAACTTACCCTATTAACGCTAATGTTTCAAAAATAATTCTAAAGCACTAAGACTATGTTTAACCTATTGCCTCCAAAATAAGATTTTGCATTTTAAATGGTTTACCAAGAAATATATCTTAAACTTTTGAGGTAAACGTCTTTATTTTGTTACACAACCAAAAATCTTAAAACTATCTTAGTACATTAACGTTTTAACAGGTCAACTTTTAGTCTTTAAGAGCAGTTTTCACAAAATTTTACTCCACATTAAAAAAATGTAGTTAACATATTGTGGACACTTTAATATTGCTGCTTATTCTTTCTAATCTTATTTGGCATAGTATCATCATGTTCAGTTATTTTACAGTAACTCAAAGTGAACAGACTCCCCTCCTCCCCCCACCCTCAATTAAAAATAGAAAGAAAAACAGAAAGAAATAAAAGAACATCAACAACAACAAAAGATTAGGTTCTAGGAGGAGGGAAAACCTAATCAAACTGTCAGGATGCAGAAGTCAGCTTTTTGCACCCATTCTCAATGCTACAGAATAAACTTTCAGACTACAGCCAAGTACTTTCTAAAACCTTTCAAGAAGCTCCAGTAGATTTCTGGATTTGCTCCTTTAAAATCAAGATACTCTGCCTTTGCTCAGGGGGCAGCATGGCAATCTGATCTGCAGTCAATTGAAGAACCTGCATGATCAAAGCTGCCTTTTCCTGATCCTGTGGAGTGACCTGGCTCTGCCCAGGGCTAAAACTGCTAGGCTGGCTTCCACCTTGCTTGCTTGCCCCCTGTATGCCTGCTCCTTGTATTCCCACTCCTTGTATGCCTGCCCCCTGCATCCCTCCTGCTTGTATGCCTGCTCCCTGCATGCCTGTTCCCTGAATACCAGCTCCAGGATTTGCCACCCCTGAAATGCCTGGGACCTGTCTGGGTCCCTGAGGGCCACCTGCCCCTATATTAATGGGACCAGGACCCTGAATTCCAGCAGTCATAGGGCCTCTTGAACTGGGGACAGGGCCCCTCATCTCCAATCCTCTTGCATCCATGCCTCTTGCTTCCATCCCTCTGGTTTCCATCGCACAGGTCTCCATTCCTCTCCTCTCCATCACACGCGTCTCTAAGACCTCAGTTTCCATGGCGCGAGTCTCCATCGCTCGAGAGTCTCTATTACCTCTGCCATCCATGGGTAGACCCCTTTGATCTATCATGGGGCCTCTGGGCTCTCCAATTAGCAGTCTGGGATCTCCCAATGGCGCTCCCCTCATCTCATGGGAGGAAGGGCCACGGGTGTCATGACCAGAAACATGATGCATGGGGGGACCCTGATGGGGTGGGCCCAGATAACCTCTGGGCTCCACTTCTCCAGTGACTGAAAGCAAAGTCCCTCCACGTGGGTCATTTGGAGCATCTCCTAACAGTCCTCGAGGAGGCAGGCCACCAGGAGTCATGGGTCCACGAGGTATAGGAGCTCTAGGATCTGACATCTGCACTTGTCCTCGCTCTAAAGGCACTGGGCCAACCCCTGGCATTCCAACTTGGGGCTGCATTGCTCCTCCAGGAGTTAAGGAACCAGGACCAGGTCCGGGAACTGCAGCTGGTATTGGCCCCGGAGCTGGAATTCCACCCTGGATAGGAGTCTGCATCAGAGGAGGAATGTCCTTCACAGGTCTTCTAGCCAAATGCTGAGGCTGAGGGGCTGGAGGATTCTGCTGGTTCAGCAGAACATTAGGACCTGGGCAGAGCCCAGGGCCAGGGCCAGGACCAGGGCCAGAGCCAGAGACAGACACAGCCTGAGATTTGCCCGGGATCAGTGGTGTGACATGTATCTTCCGATGCAGAATTTTCAGAGCAATCTCTGGATCCATGATTCTCATCACTACCTGTGCCTGCAACAGGGCATAAGCCAGTTGCGGATTTTGAAGTAACATGTTTCGAGCCTCCTGGTGGCTGTTTTGGACACAGAGCTTCATCTGCTTCATGAGCTCAAACATTTGCTCTGGGGGGAGACTGGCTACTGCTCTGGTAATCGATTCAGGGGCATCTTCTGGATCGATGGGATCCCCATAGGGTGAGTCAATAATGGGCGCTGCAGGCCCGAGGCTCTTTAACTCCTCCTTATTCTTTTCACTGGCAGCATTGTCCACCCGAAGCGCTCTCCCACTGAACTCCCGCCCATTGAGGTTCCGCATGGCACTAAGCGCGGTCTCCTGGTCTTGGTATTCGCAGAAGCCATAGCCCTTGGGTTTTCCCGTCTCTCTATCGTATACCAGCCGGAAACTGACAACAGAACCAACCTCCGAGAAAATGTCCTTTAACTGCTCCTCAGTTGCCTCATACGGAATGTTTCCCACGAACACTGAACGCAGTGATCGATCCATTGCCGGGTCTCTCACCGCCAAACTCGACATGATTCCGGTTGTGCGCACAGCCGATAGCGGATTCTTCGAGGTGTCTGTCCTCTTGCGATCGGCACTTCCGCTGAGCAACGGAAGCGGCTCTCAATATCCGGGCAGAAACCTTACTAATTCGCTTGAATCGTTCCGCTTGCCTGTGGAACCTGCATCCCACTAACAACTAATGCTTTCCGTCCCTGATTCTTCGTGGTTCTGTCAGCTTTTTGTCACAGGAGTCGCAAGATTCCTTTCCCATTTCATTTTAGGCCGACTTTCTGTGGAGTCCTAACAGCCCCACTACGACAGGCTTGGTACGAGATGACCACAGTAAAGATGGCCACATAGACTTCACCAAGGTAACTGGGAAGGGACGCCTCCCTTGACGTCAAAAGCGGTTTTGTTTCCGTTCCACCGGCGGGAAACCGCCAACCGAAAGCTGATTTAAGGCGCCGTGTTTTTCGCTCTGACCAAGTATTTTCATATGGCCGTTTATTATAGTATAGTTAAGCTATATTTAAAATTACATTCCAGACCGAGGCAAAAGTGTAGTTGTTTTAAGGCAAATTTGAGATTTGCCCCTTAAAGTAAAACAGTATTATCTCCTTTTTAAAACAACAACGTTTTTGGAAATTAACTGCCAAGAATTATAAACCGAAGCGTGTGCCGGCTGGGCCCCGCTCCCACTCTGTTGCTTCCTGTAACTGCTGTTAATGGATGAGGGGCAGATCCTTCTAGGTTTTTCCTGAGCACAGGGGCAGTTCCTAATATTACGATTTTGTTCCTTAATAGTATTAACTGATTTAAATATTATTGGTGATTAAATAAGTGATTAGTTATAAGCATTTTATGGCTTCATAGTATGGAATAATGAAATATACTTTATTATTCCTATATTGATTGGTTCTAATTTTTATTATATGATGCAGTGAGTCCACCACTTCTATGAAAGGGTAAACAAATAGTGGGTGTTTCTCTTCTGCTGTTAGTTTTGCAGGGTTTACCCCCACCTTAATTCAAAGATAGAACTGAAGCTCGGAGAGGGCTAGATCAGTTGCCCAAGAACAAGCAGTCGGTAAGAGGCAAAGCCAGGATTCTAGCCCAGGTTGGTCTCACATAGCTCCAGATCTACGCTGTCTCCTTACATGTATTGAATATTTGAAATGCAGCTAGTATGATTGGGGAATTTAAATTTCTAAATGAAATTTTAAATTTAAATTCCTCAATCCTAAATTTTAAATTTAAATTTCTTAAAATTAAAATTTTTAAATTTCAAATGAAATTTTTAAATTTCATTTTTTATTAATTTAAATATAAAAACTAATGTTCAGTAGGCTATTGGAAAACTTTTTTAGTATTTGGAACAACTTGAGTGTAGAATCTGTTTTTGTAATAATTGTGTTCTAAATAAAAATTATTTCACAGAACACTAAGACAAAAAATAAAAATAAAGTATTTCCAGTCAAAATTTAACACTACGGTTGAGGTATGCCATGCATATAAAATACATGAACGATTTTAATAAATACAAAAAAAGTCAAAATAGCTCATCAATTTTATATTGTTTTAAAATTGAAATGTAGTGTTTTTAATGGATTAAAAAATTATTTTGAAATTAATGTTATTTTACTTTTTAAAATGTGGCTATTAGAAAATTTTAAATTATATGTATAGATTGCGTTATACATCTGTGGACTGGACTGCTCCAAGCCTGTGCTTTAAAACATAATTATTTTATTCTGAAATATAATATGCCTTTTAAGTGGATTATGAAACTTCTAAGTTTCAGCAAAAAAATGGTATATGTATCTGCAGTATCCTGGTCCAATGAATATATTTGAAATGAGTATGATGGTTTAGCTGTAAATAAAACATCCATTTACCTTCAAGTTTTTGAAACAATTCTAGACTTAGCTGTTCCCCCAAGACACATGACAGTTTATATTTGCAAGTGATAAGGTGTATTTGTATCACCTAATAAGATTTTCCTGCTTTATCAAAGAAACAATAGCCACCTGCTCGTAATGTTTCCCCAGCGTGATTCTTTCACTGGGGACAAAAGTGGAGGAGTTAAGGATAGTATCATTTCAAAAAACTAAAGACAAATTTATTTTTCTTCCTTCTACACCATCACTTTACAAAGAGAAGCGAACCTTTTTCTTTTTTTTTTTGAAAGAAACAGAAAGAAAAAGGGGGAGAGAGAACAGGAGTCTTGCTCTATTGCCCAGGCTGAAATGCAATCTAAAAATAGGTATTAAAATCCTCTTTTATGCTGATAGTTGTGCTTAACAGTGGAGACAGGAAGGAATAAGGGAAGAAAATAACAACCAACCAATATTTCATTTAAGTCTGTAAAATGCTATGCAAATGCTGAAGAGTGATTTACTTCCAATTATGTAGTCACTTTCAAAATAGGTGTAATGTGATACTGAGCAAAATGTATGTTCTGTGGACCTGGGGTGTAGAATTCTGTAAATATTCACTGAGTTTACTTGTTCCAGGTCTGAGTTCAAATCATAGATGTCCCTGTTAATTTTCTATCTCATTGATGTCCCTGTTAATTTTCTATCTCATTGATCTGTCAAATATTAACAATGTGGTGTCAAAGTCTCCCCCTAATATTGTGTGGGAGTCCAAGTCTCTTTATAAGTCATTAAGAGCTTGTCTTATGTGTCTGGGTGTTCCTATATTGGGTGCATATATATTTATGATCACTGACTCCTGTTGTTGCATTGATCCTTTTACCATTATGTAATGTCCTTCTTTCTTTTAGTCTTTGTTACTATTAAAGTCTATTTTGTCAGAGACGAAAGTTACAACTCCTATTTTTTTTTTTTGCTTTCCATTTGATTGGCAAGGCTTCCACCAACCCTTTGTTTTGAGTCTTGGTGTGTCCTTGCTTATGAGATGGATCTGGATACAGCATACCGCTGGGTTTTGACTTTTTATTCAATTTGCCTGTCTGTGTTTTTGATTGGGGCATTTAATTCATTTAAATTTAGGATTCATATTGATATTTGTGAGTTTAATATTGTCGTTTAATGCTAGCTGACTATTTTGCCCATTAGTTGATATAGAGTCTTCATTATGGAGATACTCTACCTTTTGGTAAGTTTTTGGGATGACTGATACTGGTTGTTCCTCTCTGTGTTTAGTGCTTCTTTGAGAAGCTCTTGTAAGGCATGCCTGGTGGTGATGAAATCTCTGAGTTCTTGCTTGTTCGTGAAAAATTTTATTTTTCCTTCATTTATGAAGCTTAATTTGACTGGATGTGAGATTCTGGGTTGAAAAATCTTTTTTTTTTTTTGAGGATATTGAATATTGACCCCCACTCTCTTCTAGTTTGTAGGGTTTCAGCTGAGAGATCTGCTGTGAGTCTGATAGGCTTCCCTTTATGCGTAACCTTACCTTACTCCCTAGCTGCCCTTAGAATTTTCTCCTTTATTTCAACCCTGGTGAATCTAGCGATTATGTGTCTTGGGGTTGCTCTACTTGAGGAATATCTTTGTGGTGTTCTCTGTATTACCTGGAGTTGAGTATTGTTCTGCCTTACTAGTTTAGGAAAGTTTTCCTGAATAATATCCTGAAGAATATTTTCCAGCTTGGATTCATTCTCTTCATGACATTCAGGTACACCTATCAAACGTAAATTAGGTCTTTTCACATAGTCCCATATTTCTTGGAGACTTTGCTCATTCCTTTTTACTCTTTCTTCTCTAATCTTCTCGTTTCATTTCACTAAGTTGGTCTTTGACCTCTGATATCCTTTCTTCTGCCTGATCAATTCAACTGTTAAAACCTGTGCATACTTTGTGGTGTTCTCGTATTGTATTCGTCAGTTCCATTAATTCACTTATATTCCTCTCTAGATTGTCTATTCTTGTTAGGATTTCATCAAACCTTTTTTCAAGGTTCTTAGTTTCTTTACATTGGGCTAGACCATGTTCTTTTAACTCACAGAAGTTTCTTATTATCCACTTTCTGAATCCTAATTCTGTTATTGGAACACACTCGTTCTCCATCAGGCCTTGTTTCCTTGTTGATGAGGAACTGTGAGCCCTGTAGAGGGAGAGGCATTCTGATTTTGGGTATTCTCAGCCTTTTTAGGCTGGTTTCTTCCCATCATTGTAAATTTATCCACCTGTGGTCTTTGTAATTACCGACTTTCAAATTAGGTCTCTGAGTGGACATCCAACTTGTTGATTCAGTGCTGGAATCTGAGCAACCCACTGCAGCTAAAACAGCAGCATTAAGATTAGTGGTGCTTTTCTGTCCGGGAATCTCTGGTCTGGCTTTCTTCTTGAGTCTCTTTTTCAATCGGCTACTCTGCCTTCCTGGAGCTCCAAACATTGACCAAAAGGGGAGCTAGTCCCGTTTACGCTGCACCAAGAACCGCCGCACCGGGGCACTGGCCACAAGAGTTCCACTGGCGACCCATGGGGCTCCTCTGCTGGGAATCTCCTGGTCCTTGAGCAACAAAAATTCGTCTGAAAGTGTGGCATCCTCTTGTTTTCTGCACTTTCACTGGGATCTACAATCCTGAGCTGCTAATAATCAGTCATCTTGGATCTCTCTCTCCCCGGGAAGCCAAGCTTTTTGTTAAAACATACCCTGTCAAGGGTAACTTACAAGTTGAATATGTGTGTAATTGTATGTGTATAAAATGTAGTAATCATGAAGATAGTAATGGGGTATTATAATATATTGCAAAATTCATAGAAGATTGCACAGCTTGACAGTTTCTTTACAACTGATACTCTCTAAACCAGTGGTCCTCACATCTATCAGAACCACCTTGAGCCGCAGCTTGAGTCAGATTCTGCTTTAGCGGATCTGGAAAATTTGCTTTTCTAATAAGTTCTCAGGTGCTGCTGCTGCTGCTGCTGGTTTGGAGATCCTTAAGAATCATTGGTCCTTGGGATTTGAAATAGATTTTCTCATTTACATTAGGCCACACTAAATTTAGTACTCTGTTAAAAGGTTTGAGACAAAGGTTTTAAAAAATTATAATTTTTGTG